TCTTGGTTGTGTAAATCTTTATTAATCTTCTAGGTGGGGAAGGGGGAGCGTAGTGGTTCAATTAATTTGTTTCTTGTATTCTTTTGTGAGACTAGAATTCATTGGATGGAAGTATAATAAATTTCCTGTAGTCTCTAATATATCTCAAGTCCATCATTCCTATTAAATCTTATTTTCCTGAACTTATACTTTGCATTTAAGCCACGTGAATATTTGACATTTTACGACGAGTGGTTTGAGGTTTATTGATGGCGGAGTCTGGATTTTTGGTTGGGGTCAGAGAGTTCTAGAATTAATTTATGATGGATTTTTAACCATCGTGCATTCATTCCCGTAGAGAATTTTTCTTACAAGATTTTCATGTGCATATTTATGTTGACTCTTTAAAGCAATTCCCTCTTTTATTCTTTACTAAAGAAGATACACAGAATACGGATTAAAAAGCTATGCGAGAGACCAATGGAAGATTCTTCATCGTCTTCCATGCCTTTTGTTTATGACTAATTTTGATTAGTTTCAACCAAGTCGAAACAAATTATGAACCAAATATAACCACTAATTTCACTATGGTATTATGAACCAAAAATATCCAGGACTTTACTACAATTTTGTCCATTTTAGTTTATGGTTAATCTAATCTGCTTAGTCATTTCAGTTGTAAATTAGTGGAACGATAGATTTTATATGCATACGATGTTGATGAAATTCTGTAAAAAGGGCTATGGAACTGAAGATTGCGGATTGAGAAGTCCATTTGTAAAAGTTGATATATATTTGCTGTAGATGATAAAGTTTAAGAACTAATTTGCGCAAATTTTCCCCAAAAAAAAATGAAAAATTAAGAGTGTGACTTCTCGGATTTCAACCCAAATGTCCAAGGCCACAAATTGCTATTTTTACGACTAAACCACCGAGTCTATCTTGCAAATAAAAACTAGTGTTTTAATCTATATAATACTTATTAAAATAAATTTATATGACTGAAAATTTTTAAAAATGTTGATGGATCGGTCGTCCATCCCTGCCCTCTTTCCCTCTGTCCCATATCGGTTATTATCCACGAGAAGGGAAGCACAACACAAATCCATACGTCCGCTTGCTCTTTAGAGGGGAGGCGAAGAGAACTAAGGTAAACTATAGCTTGCATAAAATGGAAATTCAATCTTGACCTCGCTTCTTCTATTACACTTTTCATGTCCAATATGATGCACTCGACATGAGAAACATACGAGCAAACAATCATAGGAACATTATTGAGCTATCAAGGTAGTAGCTTTTCAGCAAACGACCATTGAAACTTGAACCTTTATAGTCGTAATGGACGCTCTTGGTTGTGAGTATTGTGCCTTAATTCTAAAAGCTACTCATTTGTTATTTTTTTTCTCCATAGCCTGTGAAGAAAAGCAGAGATCCGAGATGGGATGAGTTTCAATTCCTGCTAGAGCCGCTGCCCACAAATGATAGGATTCATGTTGAAGTAGTCAGGACTGAGTTTACAACACCCAAAGGTATAATCCCTTCACGTGCCATGGGATTTTGAGTCTTTCATCGTCTTGATAACCACAAAAGTAGACGTTTTTTAGTATGAATGTCTATTGCATAGGAGGATTGTACTACGACAGGTCAAGTTAGACTGAGGTCTTTTTATGAATATACGAGTTTTTGTCTGGTAGAGAGTAGTTCAAACCTCTTTTTCAAGTCCTTGAGTCTCACACACACGCTACTGCCTTGTCATAGATGTAACGTACGTCGATGCTGCTTTGAACACCTTGTGGACTGAGCTTGCTCTCCAGCATGCTCATGTGACATTTTTGAATGCCATTTCACCCTCCTCATTCTGCCATGTTATTTTAGGTGCAAAACCTAGGTTTTAGTTTTCTTGAATATGGATAAAACTATTTAGGGTCGGAATAAGACGTCACGTTCTTGATGTTTAAATCATGGGTTTTCTTTTTTTAAAGGTGTTTGTATTACATCTGCTTGTTCAAGTAATCGGTTTGGAAACTTTGGGTTACGTGCTTAACATAAGCTAAGCACCGGTGACATGACACACCATTTAATTGGTAAATCATTAAATTCATGTGGACCCATCATTAACTTATTCACCAATCAATTGTTGTTCTATGTCACCGGTGCTTAACATAAACTAAGCACCGGTACTCATTAGATCATTTTCCTATATATATATATATATATAGCAACTAAGCAAGAGAATTTTGAATGTTGACGGCCAAATTTGCTCCTGTCCAAGTCCCATAAACAAATTTGATCATTTTCTCAAAACACTTTTTATTCACATATTTTGAGGATCCAAATACTCACTTATTCATGACTTATTTTATTATTACTTTGAAACGTTCGTAGATATTTCCCAAACATGCTTGATTTGTTTTGGCTTATAGTTAGAAGAAAAAATGTGAAGGTTCTTACAAAATTCTTACGTTTCTCCTCGAAACCCTACTAGTTCCTTCCAATATTGCGTTGGTTTTCTGTTCTTTGCCTTTCTCTCCATTTCTCCATCCCGAACAGTAGTTTAAGGTTGGTGGGGTAGGAAGGGAAGAGAGTGGGAAGATGAGGACAGGAAGTCTTTTCTTCTTATTATTTTTTCTATAATTAAAAGTTTATTTTCTCAATAATTGTTGATCCCAAAAAGTGTTGCCAATAGATGCCGGTCCCACCCGCGCACACGTGGGCGAATGTCCAACACGCTAAGACACGTGGACGGTCTAAAACGAGCGGTTCAAAGGGCGTGGGAGTAGCCCAACGACGCGGGACGATGAGGTTTGGAATCCGGCAAGTTGTTCGTGATCCGATTGTACAATAATTACCAACCGGTGTTCGTTGATGTATGTGTAAATGTGTATAAACTCGATTTGTATATTGTAAGTAAATGAGAGAGAGAGTTGAGTAAAGTGTAATTCTTTGTATTGATTCTTGCATTAGCCTTTTGATGTTACACAAGGGAAGTATTTATAGTCATACATATGAAATGGGAGCCCTTGGATGAGGTGGCACGTGGCCTCATCTCTTGGATTCAAACATCTTGTCCTAAGTATGGGGCTTGACTTGCTAGCTTGCTGCTTATTTATTACTTGTGCAGAGCCTCCATACTAGTGACAAGACTTGACCTTTATGCTTATGACAAATGTTCCATCAATCATTCGAATAAGATCTTTGTGTGGGCGATCTCTTGGGAGAAGTGACCATGGAGGATGCCCCCTTGTGGTTCGAAGGCTCCTGCATCGGCTCTGGGGCATTGGCCATTTCATACGATACTTCCACTTGAGGGCTTCAGCTACCTTCAACCAGTTTCAACATCATGGCTTCGGGTCATAGGCCTCGGCATGTGGACCTTGGGTACATTCACAGGCCTCGGTAAAAGAGGGCCTCACTAGTGGACCTCGGCTTGAAGGGCTTCGGTGATAGTCCACCTCGACGATTTATGCCACCACGGATGGAGGGCCACGTGGTTCGCCCTGGGTGGGCCATTGGCCCAGGTAAGTTGGCCAAGTATGACAACACGCAACAATAATTCCCTAAGTCCAAGTATAGATATTTATATCATTGTTGGAGTTAGAGATGTGCTGCTGTGGGTGAATGGTGAAGAGCCGAGGCTGTGTTGAAGGTGAGGCTGAGATGGTTGGGAAACCGAACCTACGAGGCTTTGTTGGCTAAAAGTTGAAGTTGAAGCTGAGGCGGTTGAGAAACCGAACCTACAAGGCTTGTTGGCTTCATCAGCCGAGGTTCCATGGTAATGATTGTGCGTCGATAGCTATGCCAATGATTTGACGTTTTGTGCTTGTTTTTGAGGAAAAGTGGCTGGTCCGTCCGACTTCCAAGGCGCCTACTGCCGTCGAATTAAAAACACAATTATGAGGACAGCTGGAGGTTCTAGAAGCAGAAGCGTTGGATGGGGTGCGTGGGAGGCACGTTTGAATCTGAAGCGTAGGTTAGAAAAATCGTTTGAATTCAACGCCTCGAATTTGATCTACAATGGAGGGTTCAGATTGACTGAGTTTCAATCTAACGGTTGGGGTTCGTCCTAGACCTCTATAAAGGGTAAGAAAATCCCATTTTTTAGGACTTTTGAAAATTTGCAATTCGATTCTCTCTCAAATTCCTGAATCTTCCGGCATCAAGACTGCCTGTTTTTGATATTCCAGCTTATCTCCGTTCGTAGTGTTCTTCCCTTAGGTATCATTCGCAGAAAAACCTTATTTTTGTTGTGTTTATTCTGTGAGATGGAGTTCACCTCGGGTAGGGAGCTGGTGACGGTTGCGTCGTTAGATTACGAGGTCAGTCAGAGGGGGGATGTCGAGGCTGATAATTATGCCATGACCGAGGACCCAGTAGATTATACTGAAGAGTGGGGGGCGTCTAGGGTGCCCTCAAGTATGACGTGGAAGAGGTTAGGGGAGATTAAGGAGAGATACAGTGTCATCCACACCATAGAGATGCTAGTCCCCGAGCCGAATGAACGGGTCTACTATCCAAGGACCGGATGCATGGCAGTCAGTAAATACCTATTTTAAGGCAGGTAAACGTCTTCCTCTGCACCCCTTCTTTAGGGCGGTGTTGAGGAATTTTATGTTGTCACCGACCCAGGTTCTGCCAAATGGGTGGAGCCAGTTGGTCGGCTCATACTTCCCGTGGAAGGAGGTGTCACTTGGGGAGGACATGCCTCTCCATGTATTCATGACACTTTTTCAGCCTTGGATCATTGGGTAGGAGTCCAGGGGGTGGTATTATCTTATACCTTGGGGGGCTCACGCACCCTTTGTGGTGGGGCTGCCTTCCTCCATTAAGGGGTAGAAGGAGTCCTGGTTCTGGGTGCAGGGAAAATGGTAGGCAGTGGAGGGGGACAAGTCCCTTTCTTGCACAGTGCCGACCCAGTATTACGAAGCTCATGAGTCTCCCAGCCCCTGCTTGTAATTTTGGTTTGTAATTCTGAATTGAACACTTTGAAAGTTTCTAACTGTTGGGGGTTCCATTGCAGATTGTAGTATGAGGTTCGAGCTCAGCAGGAAGGAGTTCGAGGTGATAGAGGACATCTATAAGAGGCCTCTGAAGCTCCGCCACTTTGACCATCTGATCGACTGGAGTCGCTACTTTCTGTATTTTGGACTAATGGCTTCCAGAGGTACGATGCTCCAATAGTTGTAAATTTCCTTGTGTTTTTTATTGGACATTGATGTGCCGACCTGACGCTTTTGTGCAGATAAATTCAAGAGGAGGGAGTACCCAGCTCCAGACATGGCTACAATTATAAAAGCCACCACCACCGCCAAGGCTAGGGCCTTGAAGCCGGGGTCTAGCGGGGCCAAGGAGGTCCGAGGCAAGGTGGAACGCTTTTCTAAGGACAGTACTCCAAAGGCTTCTGAAGAGGGAGCTTCTCAGAGGCAGGAGAGGCCAAAGGAGTTTCGGGGGAAAGAGAAAGTCCCAGAGGAGGTGAAGAGGAGGAAGCTGGTGCACGTCACTAGCTCGTTCGGGAAATTTGGGACGTCAGTGTCCTACGAGGCCAAATCAACAAGCGAGCCAAAACTGCTCGCATCTGCCTCCAAAGCCATCAAGTTAGAAATGGCCAGAGAAGCTGAGGCTGAGGAGGCCAGGGAGGAGGCTGCGAGGAGGGTTGCTGAGGCTGCCGAGGAAGAGGTAGCTAAACAAAAGCCTATTTGGGAAAAGGAGAAGTCTCCAAGCTTCCTAGCTAGAAGGGAGGAGACCTTAGCCCCAGCCTTGGTCGAGGCTCTTCCACAAGAGGTCCGAAGCGCCACAGAGAACTTTTATTGGTTTTGGACGGACAGGTGGCAGCTGCATGCCTCCTCCTGCGATGCTACCAACTTGACGCGGGCGTTGCTGAGCCAAAGCATCAGAACTTTTGGCCTCGCTCTTGAATGCAGGGAGGCCCTGAGTGATTTTCAGACAAGGACCAGGTCTTCGGGAGAGAAGACGGCCTCCCTTGCAGAGGAGTTGAAGGCGGCTAAGGTCGAGGTGGAAGAAGCAAGGGCCCAAAAACTTGAAGAAATGACCAAGCTGGAGTCTGCCTTGGCCCAGATTGAGGCCTTGAAGAAGGAGGTCCACGAGTCACAGCGCGAGGTGACCTCCCTTACAAAGAAGGTGGAGGTCTCCAATGAGCACCAGAAGGTGACCGCCGAGGCCCTGGAGAAGGCCAATCTCTCTTTGACGGGTGCCCAAGAAGCTTACCATTTCTTGGAAACCCAAGTCAAGTGGTATGTGGATGGTGCGTCCCATGCCAGAGAGGAGGCCCAACAGGCGAGGGAAGAGGCGGTGCAGGAGTATGTTGCCAACTTCCACAACACAGACGAATATAAGAGCTTCAGTACATACTGGAGAAACTTTGCCTACGCTGAGGTGATGGAGCGGGCAGAGGAACTGTATCCCAATTTGGATCTGACTCAACTTAGGTCTGAATTTGTGGATGAGGTACCTCAGACCCTGCTGAGGACGTGCAGGGAAATGAAGCTGCTGATGTAGGGGAACCAAATGCTGATGCTCAAGCTGCCGAAGCCCCAAGCACAGAAGCACCTCCCCCATCTACTCAAGCTTAGATTAGTTTTCTTTTTAGTATTTTTCGAATGTAATGGCCTAAGGCCCACTTTTGTAATCCTTTTTGAAGATCAATATAATGCCTATTTCATTCATTGTTGTTTCTTTATCAAAGTGTGCGCGCCTCGTTTAAGCAAATGAACTTAAAGGTTGACAGAAGCACCAACTAAATAACTCTAACTTGGTACCTTAACTTCAATTACTTTAAACAACTGGATTGAACCTCAGATAAGCAAATGAACCTTGGACTTAAGCAAATGATCTTTACTTCAGCATAATAACTGTTTGAGCCTCGGACTTAAGCAAATGAATAATTGAAAATAATGAGCCTCGGAACAAAAAAAAGAATTGCACGTGAGGTGGCTTCTTTCCTTGGCGTTTTGTCTAGCCAAAGGGAGGTATGTGCTAGCGCCTCAAAGTTCAAGTGAGGTGGCTCAAAGGTGGGACGCGAGCCTCTCCTCCAAGGTGACGACGCATTCCAGACACGGTGGATGGTGCAGCCATGTTGAGGCTTCTCCCCTTTGCGTTTTGTTTATTTTGGTCAAAAGGAGGCATGTGCTAGTGTCTCGGAGTTCAAGCGAGGTGGCCCAGAGGTGGGACACAAGCCTCTCCTCCGAGGTTACGACGCATCCCAGACACGGTGGATGGTGCAGCCATGTTGAGGCTTCTCCCCTTAGCGTTTTGTTTATTTTGGCCAAAGGGAGGCATGTGCTAGCGCCTCGGAGTTCAAGCGAGGTGGCTTAGAGGTGGGACATGAGCCTTTCCTCCAAGGTATTGCAACACGTTAATTTAATCACTGAATTTTATTGAACCCTAGAAATGTTACAAAGGCTGGAAAAGGTCGTCCAACAAGATAGTACATTTATTGGTAGTAGATTTTGAGCTGTTCAATGTTCCATGGATGGGGTTGTGCCTTGCTGTTCGTGTCTTCAATCCAGTAAGTCCCAGGTCGGACTTCTTCTCTGATCTTGTATGGACTTTCCCAGTTTGGGCCGGAATCGAAACCAGGTTCTTTTGAGGAAAGAAATATCCTCCTAAGTACAAGGTCGTTGATTCAGAATGACCTCTTCTTGACTTTCGAGTTGAAATACCTTGTCATCTTTCTCTGATATGTGCCGAGTTTCAATTGGGAGTCATCTCTTCTTTCTTCGATGAAGTCGAGGTCGAACCTCCGAAGCTCATCGTTAGTTATATCGCTGAAGTGCAGACGTCTTGGGGATGGAAGTTCGACCTCCACGGGGCTCATAGCCTCAGTTCCGAATGCCATGAGGAAGGGTGTTTCTCCTGCTGGGGTCCTGGTGGTGGTTCGGATCGCCCAAAGGACTTGGGGCAGCTCATCAACCCAGGCCCCTTTTGATACATCAAGCTTCCTTTTCAAGACGTGCTTGATTGTCTTGTTCACGGCCTCAACTTGGCCATTTGCTTGTGGGTGGTGAGGTGTGGAGAAGTGCTTCTTTATGCCGAGCTCTTCGCATAATTCTCTAACCTTCTTGTTGTCAAACTGTCTGCCATTGTCTGAGACAAGTGAATGGGGGATTCCGAACCGGCAAATAATATTTTTCCATAAGAACTTGGAGGTGTTGGCTTCAGTGATTTTTGCTAGTGGTTCGGCTTCGACCCACTTCGTGAAGTAATCAATAGCCACAATTGCAAAACTTGCCCCTCCTCTACCTTTAGGTAGGGGACCTATGAGATCCATACCCCATTTTGAGAAAGGCCAGGGGCTAGAGACGGTGGTCAGCTCCTGCGATAGTTGTCGCTGCACCGGAGAGAAGCGCTAGCATTTATCGCATTTTCGTACAAACTCGAAGGCATCCCGCTTCAGTGTGGGCCAGTAGTACCCCTGCTTCAATATTTTTTGTGCCAGAGATAGACCTCCGGAGTGGTTGCCGCATACGCCCTCGTGGACTTCTCTCAATATGTAGTTAGCGTGTTCTCCTCCGACGCACCGTAGGAGTGGGGAGGAGAAGCTTCTCTTGTAGAGAACGTCATCAATGAAGAGGAAGTAGGCTGACCTCCTTCTTAGCTTGTAAGCCTCATTCTTGTTAGTTGGCAATGCCTGGTCTTTGAGGTATGCTACGATTGGTTGCATCCAAGTGGGAGTCCCAGCGACCCACATTACAGTTGGGGCCTCGATCGAAGGTAGGAGGAGGTGCTCAATAGGTACTACTGTGAGTAGCTCTGAGTCCTTGCTGCTAGCTAGCTTCGATAGTGGATCAGCATGCATATTTTCGATGCGAGGGATTTGGATCAACTCAAACTTTTCAAAGGATGGCATGAGATTCATCACCATTTTCAGGTAGGAGGCCATCGTTTTGTCTTTGGCTGAAAAGTTACCATTGACTTGGCTAACAACCAGCTGGAAGTCACTACTGATGAGTAGCCTCTTTACTTGCATTTCGGTGGCCAGCCTGAGGCCCACAAGACGTGCCTCATATTCTACTGCGTTATTGGTAGCTTTGAATCCGAACCTCACCGCCGAGGTGAGCTTGTGGCCTTCGGAGCTGATGAGGACAATGCCAGCGCCGGAGCCAACATCCCCAACTGACCTATCAACGAAAAGATTCCACGTGGGGGGTTCGACAGGTTCCATGATTTCATCCACCTCAGGTAGGTTGGTGAATTCAGCCACAAAGTCAACTAAGACTTGCCCTTTTTTGGCTGCCCTAGCCTTGAATACAAGGTCAAATTCACTCAGTTCTACTGCCCATTTCAATAACCTTCCTGAAGCGTCTGGCTTTTGGAGTACCTGCCTCAGGGAAAAATTTGTCAGTACATGGATGGTGTGAGCTTGGAAGTAGGGTCTCAATTTCCTAGAAGCCGTGATCAAAGCAAAAACGAGCTTCTCCATATTGGGGTAACGGGTTTTTGGCGATAGGAACGCTTTACTTGTGTAGTATACGAGGAGTTGGGTAGACCCTTCTTCCCGTATTAGAACCGAGCTGATGGCCTCATTGGAGACGGCCAAATATAGTTGTAGGGTATCATCGGGCTTAGGTTTGGAGAGGAGGGGGGCTTGCCCCAAGTGCCTTTTCAAGCATTGGAAGGCCTCTTCACATTCCTCGGTCCACTGAAATTTCTTTCCAGCCTTCAGTACTTTGAAAAATGGGAGGCATTTGTCCGTAGCTTTGGACACGAAGCGGCTAAGTGCGGCCACTTGCCCGGTAAGACTTTGCACCTCCTTTGGCTTTTGGGGAGACCTCATCTTGCACAGAGCTTCAATCATCTCGCGATTGGCCTCAATTCCCCGTTGGTTGATCATGTACCCCAAGAACTTGCCCGAGGCTACCCCAAAGGCACACTTGTGGGGGTTGAGTCTCATCCTATATCTTCTTAGGATTTGGAAAGTGCTGTTGAGGTGCTTTATGTGGTCCTCGGCCTCCAAACTTTTTACTAGCATGTCGTTCACGTAGACCTCCATTGTTTTGCCAATGAGGTCCACAAACATCTTGTTTACGAGTCATTGGTAGGTTGCTTCGGCGTTTTTTAACCCGAAGGGCATCATTCTATAACAATAGAGGCCTCGGTTCGTAATGAAAGAGGAGTGCTCTTCATTGGTCGGGTGCATGAAGATTTGGCTGTAGCCGGAGTACGCGTCCATGAAGCTCAACAACTCGTGCCCAGCTGTGGAGTCCACTAGTTGGTCAATCATTGGGAGTGGAAAGCTGTCTTTCAGGCAAGCTCTATTGAGGTTGGTGAAGTCAATGCACACCCTCCACTTGCCATTGTTTTTCTTTACTAAAACCGGGTTGGAGACCCATCTAGGGTAGGTTGCCTCCCGGATGAAGCCGTTTTGGATGAGCTTTTGAACTTCTTCCTTTAGAGCCTCATACCTTTCAGGATTGAGGGCTCTCCTTTTTTGTCTATACGGGGCAACCTTGGGATCAATTTCCAGGTGGTGGCAGCTGACCTTGGGGTCTATGCCTACCATGTCCTCATCCTTCCAAACAAAGACATCAAGATTCTTGCTCAGGAAATCCTTAATCTTTTCCTTCAGAATGTTGGCTAGGCATTTGCCTACCTTCAACACCTTTGATGGGTCTCTGGGGTCTACCGAGAAGCTCTCAAGTTCCTCTACTGGAGATGCCTGAGGCTCGTGCTCTATGATGCGGGGGTCAATTTCATCGATGACCAGCGCTTCTGAATTAGGTGGTGCATCGATCATATGAACATCTTCTTGTTCGGTGGGAGCATCACCTAGGACGTCAGCCATGACCACGTCAGCTATGATTACATGGATGTCCCGGGGCTCTACCTTCTTGATGGAGCTTAGAGAGCATTCTCTCGAGCCTCATTGGTCGTCTCTCACCGTTGTCACCCCATTTTCTGTTGGAAATCTCATGCACAGGTGGTGGATGGAGGTGACTGCTCCCAGTTCCTTTAGGGCTGGTCTGCCCAACACCCCATGGTAGGCCGACCTGCTGTCAACAATGAGGAACTCCATGAAGTTCATCGTTGTTCGTGGGGATTCCCCCATCTCTACTGCTAATGTTATCTTTCCTCTCGGAGTGATGCTATCTCCGGTAAATCCGTACAATGGAGTGGTGGTGGGCGTCAGCTGATGATCCAATATCATTTTATCAAAGGCGGATCCGAATAGAATGTTGACTGAGCTGCCGTTGTCAACTAACATTCGTTTGAGCCCATTCCTGGCTATGACAGCCTTCACCACAAGTGCATCGCAGTGGGGGTAATGAACTCTCTCTGCGTCTTCCTGGGAAAATACAATGGGTGGAACCTGGTTTCTTCGGGAACTGCTACCCACAATGTAGCTTGTCAAAGGGGGGTGTTTAGCCTCCCGGGCGTAGTTCCTTTTGGCGTTTCTTGTTTTACCTCCAACATACGGCCCTCCAAATATGGTGTCCACCTCGTGGATAGGGCTTCATCTCTAGCTTGCCGATTTCTTTGGTGCCTACGCCCTTCCCTGGGCCTCTTCGCATCATGTTCCCTTCGCCGTGGGGATACATCCCTTTGATGGGGAGCGACCTCCTCACGCCCACGCTGGTTGTCGTGCCTGGACGGGGGCCTGTTCGCCTGGGACGAATCATGTCTGTCTCTAATGGGTTCC